GCTGACGTTTCGGGCCTCGACCCATCATCAGAAATTTCTGATGAAGGGTCCAGGCCCGAAACGTCAGCCTTTCTGCTCCTATGATGCTGCTTGGCCTGCTGTGTTCATCTAGCTCTGCACCTTGTTGTCAGCAAATCTCAACAGATGTGTTAATCCCTTTGGGGTAAAATGGGTCAGAGCAACAGGGACTCTCTACAATTAACAGCCAAGAAATCTACTTCCTTCAAAATGCACCTAAATCTAAGATTTCAAACTGCATTTGGAGCAAAATATTTGCATCTGCCTTAGATATCCCCAAATTACAAAAGGCTTGCTGTTATCTCAAACCACTGCTCAGGGGAGTGAAAGCAGATTTGATACCAACTTTCAAAAGGATATCAGAAATATAATTGAAACACGAAGTGTTGAGGGCTTTGGGAAGAGAACAAGGGAGTGGGATTAAGTGAGTGAATCAGATACAATGGGCCAAATGGCCTGGTTCCATGCTATAACAATCCCATGTGTGTCCAGGACCAATTACTCCTGATGCACTCAAATCAGAGCCATGAAATAATTAAAGATTTTGACCAGCAGTACTAGGAGGAAGGGTTGTACAATTCATACTTTGCTGAAATTGGTAATAATCGGATTACAGAAACCACCTCCTTCCCAGCCTGATGGATTCACGTGTTCAGTTCCCTCTTCACTATCACTGTGCATTATTACTGAGTGAAGTTCAGAGAAACCATCATTCACTCTAACCCCTGCATCCCAGTGGTGGAAGAGAACAAGGGAGAACTACAAAATAAATTAATCATTGTTGAATTGTACATGCTGAATTAGTTTGTGTTCTTTTCCAGTGATTTGCGCTTTCCTCTGCAAAGCGGCATTGAGGGAGAAGAAACATTAATTTTGCATTGATTAACTGGAGAGATAAACTGCTGAGGTTTTCCATTGCAAAGTACACTTGCTGGTTCAGGAAGTCTCACTGCTAAATCAAGCATATGTGGATATCGATCAAATAATGCACAGGCTGAGCTATAAATCTTTCCAAGTGAATCAGAGAGCAGATGTTATCCTGACATTAAAAATCGCAGAGCAAAATTATATAAAAAAAAGCGTGGAACAACCACGAAGTGTCCCAAGGGTTGCAACCTTCTCCACAAAGATGTTCAATGAGGGACTGAATGAGTTCGGATGAGACGTCAGGGGAGAAAAGGTTAATGTTTCACTCTCCAGAGGCTGCCAAACCTGCTGAGGGTTTGAGTTTCTTGCTTTTAAATCTTGGATTTCCTGCATTTGTAGTATTTTGTTCTCCCGGTGAAACGGAGGACCTGCCAATTCACACAGTAAAAGGCCCTTCAGTCTCTATTTGACAGTGGCAGGGGAGCTCTTCCTGGGTGTCCCAACAAAAATCCCTCAACCAAGATCACAAAGGAATTAGCTGGTCATTATCACAGTGCCATTTGTGGAAGCGTGCTGTGCTTCCTATATTGAACCAACACACTAAAAAAGTGCTTCACTGACCCCAAAGCACTGCGGGGTTGTTCCCTCCTGGCCACAGAGTCAAAATCCTAGAACATTGACTAACAGCACAGTGACTATTATGGATAGCCACTGAACTGCAGCAGTTTGAGAAGGCTGCTCACAACGCAATATATGCTGGCCTAGTCAACAATACCCACATTACATGCATCAATAAGTGGCACAAGTTTTGTTTTCTTCATTCAATTGATATGGGCCAAATGGGCCAAGGACTGTCAGTTGAAGTTTAATTTAGATAAATTTGAGGTGCTGCATTTTGGAAAGGCAAATCAGGGCAGGACTTGTACACTTGATGAGCATTGATAAACAAACAGACCTTGGAGTGCAGGTTCATAGTTCCTCAAAAGTGGAGTCACAGGTAGACAAGATAATGAAGGTGGCATTTTGGATGCTTGCCTTTATTGGCCAGTGCTTGGAGCATAGGAGTTGGGAGGCTGTACAGGACATTGGTTGGACCACTTTTGGAATACTGTGTGCACTTCTGTTCTCCCTGTTATAGGAAGGATGGATTTTGTGAAACTTGAAAGGGTCCAGAAAAGATTTACAAGGATGCTGCCAGAGTTGGAAGGGGTTGAAATATAGGGAGAGGCTGAATAGGTTGGGGTTATTTTCCCCTAAAGTGTCAGAGGCTGAGAGGTGACCTTGTAGGGATTTATAAAGTCATGAGGGGCAATGGATAGGGTAAATAGACAAAGTCTATTCCAAGTAGAGGAGTCCAAAACTAGAGGGCATAGGTTTAAAAGGTGAAAGAAGATTGAAAAGGATCCTAATGGGCAACTTTTTCCATGCAAAGGGTGGTTTGTGTACGGAATGAGCTGCCAGACAAAGTGGTGGAGGCTGATACAATTACAACATTTAGAAGGCATCTGGATGGATATACGAATAGGAAGGGTTTAGACGGATACGGGCCAAATGCTGGCAAATGGGACTAGATTAATTAAGGATATCTGGTCAGCAAGGACGTGTTGGACTGAAGGGTCTGTTTCCACACTGAACATCTCTATGACTATCATACTGACGTTATAAAGGGTCTTAGTAAGACCACACCTGGAGTACTGTGTAGTTTTGCTCTCCCTACCTAAACAGAGGTTATACTTGCTGTGGAGGAAGTGCAGATGCTCACTAGGCTAACACCAGGGCTGGTAGGACTATCACATTGTTTAATTGAGGTTCAACTGGACCTGTATCCACTACATTTTTGAAGGATGAGAGAGGGAATCGAATTTAAAATTTTATACTTTTCAGAGGATTAGACAGACTATTGGCAGGGAGGGTATTGTCCCAGGTTGGGGAGTCTAGGACCAGGGTTCAGTGTCAAGACATGGGGGTAGGCTATTTAGGACGGAGATGAAGAAACATTTCTTCATTCAGGTGATCAACCTGTGGAATTCACGAACACAGAAGGCTGGGTCAGAGTATACTCAAAAGAAGGATTCCTTCCCCACCCCCACCCAACGCCAACAAGATTAGTGGCTGCAAGGTGTATGGTGAGCAAGATGGAATGTGGCTTTGAGAAACAGATTGTCACAATCATATTAAATGGCAGAGTAGTCACAAAGGGCTGAATGGCCTACTCCTACTCCTGCTCTGGGTTTCTGTGGCTTACCTATTTGTATAGGTTCTTGGCAAAACAATGCTTTAGAGCTCTCGCTGTTGTTAGCCATTTACATTTGTTAATCCTCAACTCCCTCTCTGGTGTTCCCATACTTTCCTAGTCCTTCACCCTGTCGATTAGGAAGTTTCAGCTCTTCAACACATCTGGTCTCCGTCTGCAAAATCACTCCATAAATTCTGTGAATTTTAGAAGGATAGGCAGCAATTGTGTAGTGACAGAAGATTTAAAAGGGTCTGGACAGGTAGACATTGAACAATTGCTTCCTCTGGCCGAGCAATCTAAAAAAGGCAGGGGCACATTCTAATCCTAAACCTAATCAGAGGATAAAAAGGGACCAATTGTTTAGGACCAAGGTGAGAAATTGCTTTCTTCGAAATGCTTAGGCATTTTGGGAATTCCCTACCCTGGAGATTTGTGGAGCCTCCATTGTTGAACATATTTAAAGGCCAAGAGATTTTTTTGGTTTCTCAGGGAATATGGAGAATGGCTTCAACACCACGCTCCTACCCAATGAGCAGCCATAGTTACAGTGAATGATGCAGCAGGTTCAACAGGCCAAATGATCTACTCCTGTTCCTGTCTCTTGTATTTAGGTGACTTTCCAAACTGAAAAAAAAAGATACAGTTGGAATTGAGACTGAAACAGACATTTCTGTGGAAATCATGTACATGAGGAACCTGCCAAGAGAATTACCCACACTGGGGCCCAAACATGCTGGTCAAGTCCACAGATAGGAGACTAAAGTTCTGTTCTGGGACTACGCCTGATTTGGGTCTGCATGTGACGCTCTACTCCAGCAATTCTAGGGCTTTAACTGCAATGGCTTCATTTAAGTCCCATCATTCAACCTCCCCAAATCACTGAGTGGGCACACAGGGCAAAATTAGATGAAAATTTCACTAACCATTGGCTGCAAGCAATTTAAAGTGTTTCCTGATAAGAAAACAAAATAATCAAGAAGAATTTAGTTAAAAGAGTTGGATAGAAATTGATGTGGGGAAAAGGCAGGAGATGGCACTTGGTAATAGAACCAGTGCAGGCACAATTGGCTGAATGGCTTCCAATGATAGTTCACAAGACACAAAAGGATAAGTCCAATGGTGTACATGTCAACAGGTCAATGTGGAGATGGTCACAGATTTAGGATGGAAGTTTTTTCTTTTTCTTAAAAAAAAAAACAAATCAAAAATCAACTCCTTCAATGTTCACTCAGCTATCCTGTTTTTATTTTAAAATGGTGTCTTTCAGATTAGAGTCGCATTGGCAAGACTCCATTTGTAATTTCTCCAGTTGTCCAAGAACATGTGGTGAGCTGCCTTCTTATAACCCACTGTAGTGAGCACACTCGAACATGCTGTTAAGGAGGCAGTTCCAGGATTCTGACTGAGTGACAGTGAAGGAACGGTGATACATTTCCAAGTCAGAATGGCAAGTAGCTTGGAGGGGAACTTGCAGCTCGTGGTGTTCCTGTATCTTTAATCATTTGTCTTGGATTTGGAAAGAGCCTTGGTTAGTTTTTGTAGTGCATCTTCTAGATGGTGTTCACTGCTGCTACGGAGCATCATTGAGAGAAGTGAACATCAAGTGTTGGATGTGGTACCAAATGGGTTGCTTTGTCTTGGATGGTGTTGAGCTTCTTGTAAAAATTGTTGCAGCCTGTGTGAGTGCAGCAAGTGGAGAGTATACCATCACACATCCTACTTGTAGGAGACAGGCTTTTGGAGATGAAGAGGTCAGTTTCTGGTCACAGAATTTCCAGATTCTAGCCAGCTCCTCTAGCATGTGTGTAGCTGGCTCATTTAAGTTGATGGTGAGGGGATTTGGTGAAGGTGATGCTATTGCATGTCAAAGAGAGATGGCTAGTTTCTCAGGTTGGAGAGGATTACTACCTGGCACTTGTTGGGTGCAAAACGTTAGTTGCCGCTAAATCAGCCCTAGTCCAAATGTTGTAAAGGTTTTCCGTGCATGAAGGCAGAGACTGCTTCTTCATCTGAGAAATTACAAACCTCCAGCTGAAGTACTGGATCTCCATGCTGAAATAAGGCTTGTCGAGATGTTCAGCTTACAGCATTGAGACTACACTTAGCAATGCTGCACCATTCAGAGAAAAAAAGAAATCCAAAATAACATGGTTAAGAATCCTGGACAAAGGGCTATAACCCAAAACAAAGATAGGATGTAGAGGTATTAATCACGAAGTAGTTCTTCATACAAAGTAGAAATGTGAAATTCCCTCACTCTGAAATGCCATTACTATTGTCACTTATAATCCTGCATTTCCAAAGTCCCTCTGTTATCCAATGGAGTGTAAATGATCAAACCTGAAAACTATTGTGTTACTGCATCCAAGGCATTGATACAAGTAAATCAGAAAGACTGGTGGATGGGGCTTATTAGCAATTTAAAAATAATCTTCCTCTTGATGGCAGAGGGATTGCCCAAGGTATAACGCAACCACTTTGCTGTTGTCTTTACAATCAAGGATGTCCTCAATACCTGGAAAATTGCTCCCATAGCAGAAGAACTGAACACAGGAACGTTCAATCTGTTTTTCTGTGATGCTTTGAGCTGTGACACAGGAGGGCAATACTTACTGATGAATCCTCTGCTGGCTGAAAGGAGCCGTGTAGCAGTCTGTGTCCTCCAGATCCGGTAACGTATCCTTGTCCAACTTCATAGGTTTCCTTGGCAACCATCCTCGGAACCTGCTCAAGCTTTTCTCCATCCTGTTAGACGAACACACAAAGTTATTCATGGTCTACTCTTAATGCTTAAACCTCATGGGGATCAGATACAAAAAAAAGTCAATTGTTGCAAATGCAAGTTTGTGCTTCAAATTTTAAAAAAAGAGCAAAATAAGGTGTCAGTCTGATTTGTAACTGATCAGAGTATTTGCACAGAGCAGTTAATCTCTAGCTGACCCAAGTCAGCATAATTACACACTGTGGCCTTAAAGAGGAATAAAAATCTTTCACCCAGAATACAACTTAGCAGCTGAATAATACATCATGCATTAACATATTAGTTCAGACTTTCTGGAAGCATGCAGCCAGGAACTCATTGCAACTTTAAATGTACCCAAAGATCCACTGATTCTTCGCATTAAGTAACACTAATGCTTGCATTGCATGGTACCTTCCTGAGGTTTTGATAGTGCTTTGCCATTCTCCTTGCCAAGGAGCTTTCAGATCCCCAAAAACCCACTTTTTCTTTTTGAAAAGGTCGATGGCATCTGTGAACTTGCTGAATTAACACTGTGATCATATGGCCACTTTAGACTGATTGAAATGGATGGTGGGAGCTGTTTGTTATTGGGTTGAGTCAAACAAACAATCACACCAATATCCCTAACAAAGGCAATCTCATCACATTTGAGAGAGCTTACTGTGTGCAGATTGGCTGCCACGTTTCCTAAGTTAAAACAGTGACTACACTTCATTGGCTTTTATCAGTTTTGGGACATCTTGAGACTGCAAAGATAGTATACAAATGCAAGGTTAGTTTTGCATGTTTCACATTCTCAAATCAAATCCACTGCATTAGTTGCAATCAAATAAAAAATTAAGTTTACCTGATTTACAGTTAGTTAGACTTGCTGCCCACATATAAAGTCATTTCCACAATATGTTTGACATCAGTAAAATGCTATCAGATTACCTGACTTGTGGTACAACCTCAAAAGGGGCAATGATATAGAGTGTTTAAGAGTTATTCCTATTGTGAAAATGCAACATTTTGCTGGCATCTCTCTATTGCCAAGTGTAAACCATTACAAGCAGTTCCTAAAAATTAACCTAGCAATTGCTTCTGGAACTTCCAGAACTTCTTGATCCCTGAAGTGTGAGGTGATTCATTTTGGAAGGAAAAACTTGAAAGCAGAATACAGGGTTAACGGAAAGATTCTTGGCGGTGTGGAGGAGCAGAGGGATCTTGGGGTTCATGTCCACAGTTCCCTCAAAGCTGCCACCCAGGTGGATAGAGTTGTTAAGGCAGCATATGGTGTGTTAGCTTTCATTAATAGAGGGATCGAGTTCAAGAGCCGTGAAGTTATGCTCCAGCTATACAAAAGCCTGGTTCGGCCACATCTGGAGTATTGTGCCCAATTCTGGTCACCTCATCACAGGAAAGATTTGGAAGCGTTGGAAAACGTGCAGAGGAAATTTACCAGGATGTTGCCTGGAATGGAGGGAAGGTGTTACGAGGAAGGGTTGACAAAGCTCGGGCTTTTCTCTTTAGAACAACGAAGGATTAGAGGTGTACAAAATGATCAGAGGTATAGATAGGGTAGACAGCCAGAGACTTTTTCCTAGGGTGGAGTAGCTGTTAAGAGGGGGCATAGTTTTAAAGTGAGTGGAGGTAGATATAGGCAAGATGTCAGAGGTAGGTTCTTTACTCAGAGTGGTAGGGGGCATGGAATGCATTGCCAGAGAGGGTAGTGGAGTCAGCCTCATTTGGGGCATTTAAGCGGCTATTAGACAAGCATATGGATGATAGTATAAGGTAGGGGTGGAGGCTAGATAGACCTTAGGATTAGGGTAAATGTTCGGCACAACCTCGTGGGCCAAAAGGCATGTTCTGTGTTCTACTTGACAATGCCTCTGCCTCATTAACAGGGACAGTGAGGCTAACTTTTCCTCACCCCCATTCTTGGTCCATGATTTCCACCAGTCAGGTTCAGATTTAAAATAGATAAACCTGGATGAGGAACAGACCTAGGTTTTAACAGACTCGACACTTTTCAGCGGCCTCAAATATTGACTGGATTTTATTTATTCATGGGTTGTGGGCATCGCTGGCTGGGTCAACATTTGCTATCCCAAGTTGCCCTCAAGAAGATTACATGGAACTGCCTCCTTGAACCACTGTAGTCTGTGGGTCTCCCTGTGCCCACAGTGTCATTAAGTGGGAAGGGAGTTTAATAGATTTTGACCCAGCTGCACTGAAGGAACAGCAATGTACTTTCCAGGTCAGGATAGTTCCTTGGTGAAGAACTTGCAGCTGGTAATATAGCTACCAGACTAGCCCTTCTAGACGGCACTGGTCATGGGTTTGGAAGCTGCTGCCTAAGGAGACTTAGTGAATTTCTGCAATGTAGCTCACAGACAGTACACACTGCTGCTCCTGTGCAATGGTAATGGGAGGGAATGAATATTTGTGAATGTGGTGCAATTAAACGGGCTTTAATCCAAGACTGAAATTAAAAAAAAGTTGAAAGGTTTTCAAAGTGGAACTTTCAAGAATTGCTCAACATTATTACCTTGATAGACATGTTAAATGACTTTAGTTACTGAATGGGGAGAATCTGGAACTCATTGCCTGCAAAAAAGTAATAAATGCAAAAACTCTCATATCATTTTAATATTTCAATACGTACTTGCAGTGCCAGGGTATACAAGGCTATGGGCCAAGTGCTGGAAGATTGGATCAGAATAGTTAGATTATTTTTGGCTGGTACAAACATCATGGGCTGAAGGGCTTTTTTCTATGCTGTAGATCTAGTCATAATACCTTGACTATAAAGGGGAGACAGTAGCGTAGTGGTAACATTACAGGGCTAGTATTCTAGAGGCGGAGGCCAATGCTCCTGTGGCAGATGGTGGGACCAGAATTCAGTAAAATTGAAACTACAGAGCTAAAGTAACCAGAGGGTAATTAGAGCTGGCCTCACCAGCAAAACCCACATTTCTTGAACAAATTTGAAATAAAAAGAAGTTACATCTTCTGCTCCCAGTTCTTCAGTGCAGCATATTCTAGTAAATTACTGAACAAGACTTTGCTCAAATTCACCAGTGTTGGTTACAGGAGGGATGTGGGGGCTTTGGAGAGGGTGCAGAACAGGTTTACCACGATGCTGCCTGGATTAGAGGAAGTGAGCTATAAAGGAGAGGCTCGAAAAAAAACTAGGGTCGGTTTTCTCTGGAGCAGTGGAGAGCCTTGACAGAAGTCTAAAATTATGAGATGCATAGATAGGGTTGACGGTCAGAATCCTTCCCCCTCCCCACCCCCACCAAGAGCTGAAATGTCTAACACTAGGGGGCATGCATTTAAGGTGCAGGGGCGTTCAAAGGTGATAGGAGAGAAGCTAGTTTTTTAAAAAATCACACACAGTGGTAGATGTCTGGAAAGCACCATTAGGTGTGGTGGTGGAAGTAGACACAATAGGGGAATTTAAAGGGACTTTTAGATAAGCACATGAACATGCAAAGAGGGGGGTGTGGAGCAAAGCCTCTCTGCTCCTATGATGCTGCTTGGCCTGCTGTGTTCATCCAGCCCTGCACCTTGTTGTCTCGGATTCTCCAGCATCTGCAGTTCCTACTATCTCTGATTCCAGTTTAAATCTGGCATCAGGTTTGGCCCAACATTGTGGGCTGAAGGGCCCATTCCTGTGCTAGTTCTACATTTGATGTTCTACATACAGTGTCAGAACGTTTAATGAATGCTCCAAGTCACTATTTCCAGGTTCCAGGAAATACTGGGGTTTAGAGCATCTGTCTAAAACAGGGTCTCCAACAACCCAACCATCAGTGTCACCCCACAGACAGTTGCTATATGTAATTTACAATACACTTTTTAAAAAAGGATAGTTAAAACATCAGAGCTCATCAGCTCAACCACAAAGAACAAAGCTGACCTCTGGAATTTAAATTTGTTTTGATCATAATTTCCCAATGTAAGAAAACTGGCGAGAGTCTGCTTCAAATGGTTGGCAGCTCAGTCCTATACCCAATGCTGTTCTTACAGACTGGAAGGAGGGGTTTGGGCTCAATGAGGGGCTGTTCATTTCGGATTGAAATTTCTGCTCAGTCAAAGGGTTATATCGCAGGGGTTTATGGATGGTCTGTCCTGCAGAATATTCAGATGGAGGTTCAGGCGGTTTGGGAGGCTCAGGAAAGGAGGAATGTAGGGACAGGGAAAGAAAATACTAATGAAGTAGAGGTCCAGTCATGATCAGGTTGAAAAGCAGAGCAAGTCGTGAACTATAAAGGTGATCTACGCCAGCTCATATCTCATTCCCTTATACAGCTTGCTCCTACTCAAAAACCCTTCGCCAAGTGTTACTTTGCACAAGGTGCATTTTGCAAGTCACACAAGTTTTTTGATACAAGCAATGGCAGGCATTGGCATTACCTCCAGTTGAAGAAACATTTTCTAGACCAATGTTAGTATTATGGGATGAGCAGCCAGTGTTGGCCATTCAGCCCCTCAAGCCTGCTCTGCCATTCAATAAGATCATGCTGACCTAATTGTAAACCTCAAAGTTCTGTTCAACCTATCACCTATAGCCTTTCACTCCATTGCTTGCCAAGAATCTATTCACCTCTGCCGTCAAAAAATTACAAGAACTCTGCTTCCACCAACATTGAGGTGAGCCTCAAAGACTCTGGTCCGAATATTTTTGGCTGTTTTAAATAGACAACCTCTGATTTTTAAAACCGTGACCCTAGTTCTGACAGTGTAGAGGACAGAAGCACACACACAGTCAGTTACAGTTAAGGCAGATTAGAGTTCAAGCAATGCTCAGACACACCAACCTGCTCATGAACTTGTATCGCCGCTGCAGGTAATAGATTTTTCTCCTGGAAGAACAGCAAAAATGAAGCCAGTCGAGAAGAAAACCCGTCGTCAGTTACAGTATGAACTATCAAGGAAGGAAAGGGAGATTGAAGATATAAGCCTGCAAGAGGTAGGAGAAAAAACTAAAAGGAGAGATTAAGAGAGAGATCAATCACAGAATATAATTCAAAAAAGACAAAGTGAGGAAGTCAAACCATCTTTTTAAGAAAGTTTTTTTTTGAAAAAGAACAGGCTGATTCTATAAATCAGAGAGAGAGATTTGGACACACTTTCTACAGAGAGGAGTATTTTCTAACAAGCATGTAGCTGAGGCTTTTAAGCACAGTACAGGAAGTTACAGGGCAATGGGAATGAGCAGGTCAGTAGGATTAGACTTGGATTGGATACAAGCAACAGCAGGCTTAGATAGGATGGTCCAAATGATCTCGCTCTGTGTCCTCCGTTTATTTTGTGAATCAATGATTTCAGAACAGGAGGATGCCATTCTGCCCATCCTGCCGGTGCATTGTGTTCTGGTTTATCATTTAGGCAACTGCACCCTTCATCCTAGGAATACAGCATCAACTCCATGATAATTCCTCAATATTGAAGATTTCAATTGCTCTTAGACCCTCTAATATGATTGAGACTGTATTGATTTAATTGGTTAGTTAATGGATATTTCTGCCTTGCTTCCAAACAAAAGCACTTAATGTTCTAGGAATATAAATCAGAACTGGATATCGAAGAGATGATGTAATCTGTTTTCCAGATTCCAATTTCTCATGGTGGGACACTGCCAAGATCTTCAACTTCAACAAACAAGGGAAACATTGCAAAACATTGGTGCAAGAAAAGAAACAAACTTTCAACAAGATAAACAAAGTCGATACTTGGTTTGTAAACTCTTTCCTAAAAAGGTTAGCTACCCCCAACTGATGTCAACAGACCTGTGTATCTCCAGCATTGAGCAAACAATCCTGTTTTACACAGACCCAACAAAAAAATGCAATCAAAAATCACCAAGATCATTCAAGGAAAAGTAGCATTTTGTATTTACCTGAAAGGCATCCGTACATTCATTAACTCTGCATATCTACAAAGAACTTCCCATGGGGCATGTAACTTCACAAATATGATATCACTATTGGTTAGTGATGACTGAAAAATAAACAAGTGCTTTATATTAATACAAACAATTTTTTTTAAACAGTTTTTAATTAAAAGATATTCACAGGATGTAGGCTTCGAAAGATGTACAGCCAGCAAACAGACCCTTTGATCCAACAAGTCCATGCCGACCAGATACCCTAAATTAATCTAGTCCATTTACCAGTATTTCGCCCATATCCCTCTAAACCCTTCCTATTCATTTACCCATCCAGATGGCTTTTAAATATTGCAATTGTACCAGCCTCCTCCACTTCCTCTGGTAGTTCATTCCATACACATACCGCACCCTCTGTGTGGGAAAAAGTAGCCCCCTAGGTGCCTTTTAAATCTTTCCCCCCTCAAACCTATGCATACTAGTTTTGGACTCCCCCATGCCAGGAAAAGACCTTGTCTATTTACTCTATCCATGCCCCTCATGATTTTACAAATGTCTACAAGGTCACTTCTCAGCCTCTGACACTCTAGGGAAAATAACCCCAACCTATTCAGCCTCTCCCCATGGCTCAAACCCTCCAACCCTGGCAGCATCCTTGTAAATCTTGTCTGAACCTTTTCAAGTTTCACAACACCTTTCCTAGAGCAGGGAGACCAGAATTGAATGCATTATTCCAAAAGTGGCCTAATGTCCTGTACAGCTGCAACATGACCTCCTAAATCCCATACTCAATGCACTGACCAACAAAGGCAAGCATCCCAAATACCTCCTTCACTACCCTATCTACCTGCGACTCCACTTTCAAGGAACTGTGAACTTGCACTTCAAGGTCTCCTTGTTCAGCAACACTCCCCAGGACCTTATCATTAAGTATACAAGTCCTGCCCTGATTTGTCTTTCCAAAATGCAGCACCTCACATTCATCTAAATTAAACTCCATTTACCACTCCTCGGCCTATCTGATCAAGGTCCCATTGGACTCTGATGCAATCATTTTTGCCATCCACTACACCAGCAGTACATTCACATCCAAATTATTTATACAAGTGACAAAAAGCAGCGGACCCAGCAGCAACCCTTGTGGCACACCGTTGGTCACAGGTCTCCAGTCCAAATTGTGTCAATCTGGAATGCATGGCCCATCTGCAATACTGGCAGCAACCACTAACAAAGCTCTGGCGCTGCTGCAGCTCTCAGAGCTGCTGGCCTCCGATTAGCACTGCACCCCACCCACGCCCCTTCAAATTAATGCTGCCTGTGGTTTTATTGCCACTGGACAGATTTTGTTTATTCACTCATCAGTCCCTGACTGAATTTTTATTTGGGGTCTGGGATCAAACAGTCTGCACCCCTGTCATTTTTCAACTCACTAGTTTAGTAACGTGCACCACCACAGCTTCTATCACTCTTTTACAAATGCTTTTTATTCCTTGCAAGAATGATTTTCTCATCAATAAAACCAGTTATCAATGATGGATTGGAGAAGGTGGGACTGCTTTCGTTGTTGGGAGGGGGTGTGGGGGAAAGAAGAGGGGGAAGGCAGCAACTGGGACACTAATCCCATGTAATAACAATACATTACTACTAGGCTACCATCTCTGCTCAAGACGAGGCGAGCAAAAGTATCCCACTGTCTGTACTTTAAACAAACAATACACTTTAAAGTGCAGAGGGGTTGAGAACAAGTGTCAAAAACAGCTAAATTGATAAAGCTGAAGAACTGTTCTTCACCAAAAAAAGATAAAGGACTGAACTGTCCAATGCCATTTTTCCCAACAAGTCTCATTCCACCAATCATTGACTTTACCAGAGAGTAAAACTGATAGAATTTAACTAGTGGTCATAACTGATGCCACCATTAGAACATGAAACGCATCCCCTGTACTAAATGAGCTATTCCTAACACACCCATTCATTAAATTTTAAATTAGGGTTACAGTGCACGTGACTGGTGAGCTGCAGATGTAGATAGCCACAAAGAAAACTACATTGCAGCTATAAAGTGACTTGGCCCAATTAATCATTTGGCAATAGAGAGCTTCATTACTGTCAAAATTAGGCTCATTTTGTTGAAGCTTTTTGACTTGCAGTCATCAGGACTATTTGCAAGAAATGTCAAAGTAAAGGGAAAATAGCAATTTGAGTGGAGAATGTGCAGATTGGTTGACAAGTAGATTGATTGGTAGAGAAACTGTCCCTGTTAATGTTAATTGATTGGCAACTGCCAGACTTTGTTAGTTAAAGGCAAGGTCTCAACCAGTCAATCTGTGTTTAAAATTTAAAAAACATTGACAGTTAATTGGCATCACAGGGTGCAGTTCCCAAATTCTAGTTAAGAAATGGAGTCAAAGTGAACAATGAAAATTTCAAAATGGACAGACAGGTGGAGAAATGGGAAGACATGCAAATTAAAAATTTAGTGCACTGAACTCTGAAGACATTAACTTTGCTAAGAAGAACATAGAATATTAAAATTTTGAGGGGGAGTAGTAGTAGTAAAGGGAATTAGATATAACATACACAGATAAGTCAGAGGATCGCAGGACAGGTTTAAAAGGTGAGTAAAGCAGAGTATTTTGGGCTTTAATCAGAAAAAGGCACAGAGCACAAGATCTATGGGCTGTGTTAAACCTTTGTAACATGCTCAATTATCTAAACCACAGTGTTGAGTCCAGTTTTGAGTGTGACACTATTACGAAGAATACAAAGACATTAGAAAAGGGTGCAAAACAGGTTCACAGAAGTGCAGTTTCTCAATCCTGGAGCCAGTTATTTAGGAGGTTGGAGAAGTCGCAACACTCTTCAAGGAGCGAGGTTAATGGGCAGATTATATTGGACAGAGCAAAGAGCGCAAGAGCAAGTGTTCCCAATAGTGGAAGGATTGAGAACTTAAGGATACAAATTTAAAGGTAAAAGAAATAGCACATGCGGAAAGCGAATGGTCAGGATCTAGAATACACAGTACAAGACAAAGGCAGGTTCAGTCAAGGCATTCAAGAGGGAATTAGAATATTAGCTGGAAAAAGGTAAAATTGGCAGGACTACAGCAAAAGCCATGTGAGAAGCACAAAGCGAGGACAGGCATGATGGACTGAATGATCTCCTTTCACATTGCAACCATTTTTATTAGTTTACAAATTTATATCAGGTTGAGTTAAAGGAATTAAAGTTCAATCTAGATTAACTGCTTTATGGATATTTAGACATTCTTTCAAGTGAGAGATGCAGTGATATTCACATCTTCAAGAATTCTAATAAAAATAAAAATGAGAATTAAGAGATCATATTTAAGAAGAACTTGGGCGTCTGCCTCCTAGAGGAAGGTTATCATCTTCACGGAAGTTTAATATCTGTAAATACATGTTAAAATAATTTGATTCACAAATATTTGCCCGGAATTCAGAATCTAAATAATTAGTTTTGGCCACTTACTCTTTTTGATAGAAAAGTTGTCAGTTAAAACCTAACCACAAGACACCAAGAACAATAGATCCTGGTGGAAGAGATAAATCAGTTAGATACAGGCCTGTAAGTGAGAAATAACATCGACTAGTCAAGATTTAATAGTTACATAAATGCCATTCGTCTTCAAAGAAGTTTAACCTGTCAGAAGGTCAAATAGTCTTGAAAATATCTAGAGTGTTGGTGATATTTAATGAATTTAAAGATAATTTCCCGACTTGAGAGGATAGATTTTTATTTACAAATCAACTTCTAAGTTATTGAAGAATGATTTGAAGCTCAAGATGTAGTCTCTCGGCAGAGCAGGAATCTGCCTGTTTTCAGGGATGAGGGCTGCCCAAAAGGACAGGGGCCAGAGCTTGCTATTAAGACCAGGAATTTCTACAAATGGAAGTCTCTGGAACAGAGTCACCTTGAAGCATGGTATAGGGCTGCAGATTAAATTTGATGAAAAAGTTACAGCACTTGGAATTCTCAGATGATAAAGAATGTGATTAAACATTTGTGGGATGCAATAGCAGGATCTCCATAGAATACATCTTAGTAGCTTGGCTCAGTTGATAATAATTGCATCCCAGGCTCAGATAGACCTTACATTTATTCATTCATGGCACGTGGAGGCTGATCCATCCCTAACTGCCCTCAAAGGTGGTAGTGATAAGCTGCCTTCCTTAACTGTTGAAGATGTTGGGGTGCAGGGACACCCAGTGTTATCAAGGAGGGAGTTCTAGGATTTTGACGCAGCAATACTGAATGAACAACGCTACACTTCCAAGTGAGAATGGCGAGTGGCTTGGATGGGAACTATGCCAATGTACCTGCTGTTACTAAATAAAAACCAAAAAGAACTGCGGATGCTGTAAATCAGGAACAAAAACAAAGTTGCTGGAAAAGCTCAGCAGGTCTGGCAGCATCTGTGAAGGAGAAAACAGAGTTAATGTTTTGGGTCCGGTGACCCTTCCTCAGAACAGTGTTGTTTTCAGCTACCTGCTGTTATTGTCCTTCTAGATGATAGAGGTCACAGAATTTAAAAGACGTGGTCAAAAAAGGCTTACCAACTTGTTGCAGCTCCCCACATAGACACCCTGCCACTGCACACTAGTTGTGAAAGACTGAACATTTTCAAGGTGGTAGATGGGATGCTAGTTAAGTGGGCTGCTTTGTCCGACATGGTGTCAACTGTTTGTGCTATTGAATCTTCACTCACCCAAAACAGGTATTCCATCACATTCCTGCCTTTTGGACGGTGGACAGGTTTGGGGAGTCAGGTGCCAAGTTATTTGCTGCAGAATTTCCAGTTGGGAGCGGCTCTTGTAGCCGCTGTATATTATGGCTGGACAAAGGGAGTGCCATTAGCTCAGTTCACCGCACAGCTCGTATGTAATGCTGGTTTATGGTGATACTCGGGTTAAACCACCAGCGAGCGATCTGTGTCTAGTGAGAGATCAGCCCTGTCATCCTCCGACTATGACAACTTTATAGCTGGTCTCGTTCGCTTTCAATGGGTATGGACATCGGAGGTTTCACCCACAGTAGTGCTGAATAATGTTACGCAGTAGATGGTCTCTCCTGGAGATGGTCGTAACTTCTG